TTTATTCAATTTGATTTATAAAATCGATATTGTTAGTAGTTTGTCTACGGGAACAACACCATATTTGTCAGGGAAGTAGTAAGGGTATTTGGCAGTATTTGTGTCTACGAGGATTGATAGATAACTGCGATGTGTATCAACAATCTCACAGCCTTGACAAATTAGGAAAGACTTAAAGCTTCTGTAATTTTTCGCGTTTCCCCCAGTCTGGAATAATCCTCGACCAAATCACTCAGTCTACTAGGAGGCAGTGACTAATACATAAAAGATATCTAAATTATACAAGTCAGAAGTTTTGTTAGAGGCGTACTTGTTCTGTACCGATCCTTAGGAGATTTGCCAGGGGTGTAATAGTTCTGAACTGATCTTCGGTCAAGGGCTTTGTTATTGGCTTACTAAAATACTGCTTTGATAACTATCTTCAGTCATGAGCCTTATGGGGAATGTACTAGTATGGAACGCCACAGCTGTCTTATGTGGAACTCTGATATTACGTTATGTTGTTCTATTATTACTTGATGATAGTTTGTCTTTACATGATATGGTTTTGACATTACGTAATGATGTTTTGATATAACTCAATATGGAAAAGTCATTACTTAATGATATTAAAATTAAGAAAAAGTACTAAAACATTTACAGTAATTCGAACTTAAGGGGGATATCCCAAAACCACTTGCCGGTTTTTCCTTAGTTCTCAAATGGAAGCAGTATTATAATAAATTCGTAAATGATTCCAAGGAACACTGCTTTATCTTGGTCTTGAAGAATAACTCCTATACAAGTTTTATAACAATTCATGGAGGTTTACAAACTTATCATGTCAAAATAATTTAATTCGGTAATATTCTATGCAAAAAAAAACCTTACATAGAAATAAGGGGGGGGGGGCTAAGCAACAAAGCCTCAATTCTATGAAATAAGAATTCTCAAGATTTTTTAGTGTGTATGTTCATTTGAACATATGAATATAAAACTTTTTTTATTAATTGCAGTTTCTGATATACCACGCACTAATTTAAAAAAAAAACTTTTTGAAATATCTGTTTAACAGGTGACGACGAATAGGTTCCAGTTGTCGTAACCACAATCCCGTCATCTTTTCCTCGAATGTAAACTACCAAATAAAACCAAATCACTGGGTTTGTACTTTCACGAATAACACGACGGGTGCCACAAGTTAAGCAGAATCCGCTTACCCTTCCAAAGCACCCGAGATCACGCTGATGGATTTATGTTACCCAGTCATACGGATCTATTTAGTTGAGCCAATCAAAACTGTCTTTACATTTTCTTCTTATACTGTGCTATGATACACTAGGTTAGGATAGGGATTAGCGCTTACATACATGTTAAACTCCGCCGCGTGCACTTTCTTTAAATGCCTGCCCAAAGTCAGAAACCTGTAGTTCAATGGTTGTCGTTGTTTCATGTGTGTCATATTTGTTTTTATACGCCCGTCAAAATTTTGACGGGACGTATTATGGGATACAAATGTCGTCTGTCCGTCTTTCCGTCTGTCTGTCCGGCGTAAACATGTCGCACCATAACTTGAGAACGACTTATCCAAATTTTATCAAACTTAACATAGTTGTTTCTTATGATGGTCAAACGATCTGTATACTTTTTGGTGAAAATAAGATTAAAACTTTTTGAGTTACGGGACTTAGTAACTAAAACAGGTGTGTGTTTTTTTCACATGTCGCGCCATATCTCAAAAACAATTTATGATTATTGCTTAAAATTTTATACACTTTTTAGTTATATTAATCTTAAGATCTGTATACTTTTTGGTGATGATTCAAAATTTTATTTTTGAGTTATTGAGTATTTTGTAAAAAAAAAAAAAAAGGGGGGAGGGGTTTTTCACATGTCGCGCCATATCTCAAAAACGATTTATGATTAATGCTTAAAATTTTACACACTTCTTAGTTATATTAATCTAACAATCTGTATACTTTTTGGTTCTGATTCAAAATTTTATTTTAGAGATATTGAGTTTTAAAAAAAGGGGATGTTTCGCATGTCGCGCCGTATGTCAGAAACTATTTATGATTATTGCATAAAAATTCACACACAAGACGACGGGCGTATCATGCGCTCATGGCGCAGCTGTTTATTCGTAGATTGTTTAGCTATAAACTAGACCGTTAGTTTTCTCGTTTGAAATGTTTTACATTTTGACGTGGTGGCCTTTTGTAGCCGACTATACGGTGTGCTGAAGGCTGCACGGTTGCCTATGATTGCTTACATCCACTGCATTTAAACTGTGGTGGATAATTTTCTCATTGGCAATCACACCACATCTAACTTTATTTCAATTTCTATGTTGTGTTTTGTATGCTGTAAAATTGTTTATCTTTTGTACGCATATCTACCACTGAACCCTCTTTTCTAAAGCTCGAGCAAAAGCCCTTGATCCACAATAAAAAAAAATAGAACTCATATTAGATAACTCGAATTTCAACTCTTAATCTTAATCTAAATGAGACTCAAATAAGGGTTTACCTCGAACTCTACGTCAAAAGGTGACTCAAATTTAAAGTTGAACTCCAATTGTAATTCAGAACTCTATGTTTAAATGTGACTCAAACTCGAAGTTCAACTCGAAATTTGCATGTGCACGTGGTTGAGAGTTGTCTCATTGGCAATCATACCACATTTCTTTATTTCTATATAAGGTTGTTTTTAATGCATTAAATATTACCGAATTAAACTGTTTTGACATGATAAATTTGTAAACCTCCATGAATTGTTATAAAACTTGTATAGGAGTTATACATCAAGATCAAGATAAAAGCATCTACAGAAAAACATGTTTTCCTCCGTTAAGCGTACCGGTTAATGTACAGTCAGTCAACATTTAATTTACGCTTTTACACTGACAGCAGAATTATCCGGCGAGACACAGGGTTAATAAGAATCTTTAATTTATTTATTAATTTACAGCTTCCATTTGAGAACTAAGGAAAAACGGTAGGACCAAATGGTTTGGGATATGTCCAAATTACTGTTAATTTTTTAGTATTTTTTTCGTAATTTTGTCTGTCGTTCCTTTTTTTCATACCAAATAACTCTGAACAACAACTTGAACTTTAATTTGAACTTTAACTTAATGGATAGCGGTACTCATCCAAAGCGCATTACACAAACGACATATGGAAATCGGTCTAAAAATAGAACATATTTTTTCCCAAATGGTCACGTGGTTTTACCTCGTAGTAGTAGTAATGGGATAACCACATCAAAGAATGACATGACCACATCAAATACTGAAACAAACACATCATGTAGTGTAAAATCGTCAAATTTTGAAACATCATTACGTAACGTTAAAGCCATATAAAGAATTGACAAATCATCATTACGAAATAACAAAAACCACATCATGTAATGAAACAACTACATTACGTCAAGTCACATACACATCACGTAATGTTAAAACCACATTGCCTAATGACACAACCACATTAAATAATGGTGAAACCACATCCAGTAATGACAAAACCATATTAAGTAATGACAAAACTATATCAAGTCAACACGAAACCATATCATGTAATATCGGAATATCATTAAGTAATGACTTTTCCATATTGAGTTATATCAAAACATCATTACGTAATGTCAAAATCATATTATGTAAAGAAAAACTATCATCAAGTAATAATAGAACAACATAACGTAATATTATTAATTCGTATATTTTAACTAATTTGATTCGTTCAGGGATAGTCACATGTTAAACTATATTTTCGAAGGTAGAGAGAAAACGGCGGATAGCAAAAAGCATATTGCACGGTTATTTTTAGAATATCTAAAAACCGATATACTTTGTGACGTCATGTAATGAATTTCATGATATTGTTAAAAGTTTTATAAAAAAATATCTATGATCGATTATTTGAAGAAAAAAAATCTTCGAATACATAACATGTAAAAAAAAACATCAAAAAAGTAAATGAAATAACAACTAATCTGTTGTTATTGTCTAGGAGACAATATCATATCTATAAAATTACAACAAAATCAAATGACGATTTTGATACAAATATGGTCGGAAATTAATAATATAACAATTATAGCCTATTTATGAGGTCAATACAGGATATATCGACCCAAAGAAGTATATCGACCTCGGACTTCGTCCTCAGTCAATATACTTCTTTCAGGTCAATATATCCTTGTATCGACCTCCTACAAAGGCTATAATTGTATAATATCAGAGTTCCACATAAGACAGCTGTGGCGTTCCATATACTAGCTATGTGGCTTTATTCAGTCACGAGCTCTGCCAATAGTTAAGTTAATTCTGAAACTGGTTACATATAAACAAAAGAACTTGCGAAATATGAAAATAAGACAGCAACCCAACGACATGTAAGTTCAAAAGTCATCTAGAGGTCATCACATAGTTATCAACAATATACATGTTGAATGTTTTAACATTTATGGAATTACGCCCCTCCCCCTCCCTACCAACTTTTTAAAATCCCTGGATTCCATCTGGAAATGCATATCAGGAAGATGAAATGTTAACAGATATGATACATGTTCTTAGTATATATATAGAGCTTCGTTTTACTTCACATTTTACATCAAAGGATCTCCTAGGATAAAGTCGGTTTAGGTCTGAATATAAGACCTTAGATAAAATGAAATATGTTTTCGTCGTTTTTCTTTTTTTAAACTTAGCGGATTTATTTTTGACTATTTTATTCGTATCTGCATTAAAGACTTTAAGTTGCAATGCAAATAATAATGGTTAATATTTGAAATATAGTCATCTCATTTTATTGAACCACTTAGGTAGAAAGCATTGCACCGACTTTATATATTCTTGTCACCATTGAAACATAATGACTCTAATTACAATTAATTGATGACAATAAGTTAATTTTCAAGACTTCCATTCATATTTAGCGTTTATGGTACTAGTCTGTTTCGCGTTGCATGTGTGTTTGTACTTTGTTATGGACTGAACATTAATCAATTCATCACATAGACGTGTGTAACAAGGTAAACAAGAGAAATCGAACAGACCTTGACAAGTAAAATGAAAACTGACACTCGGGATATTATAGATGAAGGTTTGTAGTTTTGTTTTCATTGTAGAATTTTTAAAAGTGTTAATATTTGTCCTCGACTAAGATACCACTTCAATTTGCACGCACTGCAATGTCCACCCGTGACACTCACTAGTTTCATCTGTTCATGTTTGTCCTACACGTACGTATACCATATATCAGTATATGTTGGGGCGTGTTTTTTTGTTCTTCGGTAGTGAGCCAGAAGAGGTCCATTTCTGTTTTTTTGAATAGGGAAGATCTTCTGGCTCTCTTCCACCTCTTCTTTTTTGATAGGTAGTTTAGACGGCAGAGTCACATAACAAACATGGCGTCGTTTAGTCTAAATGACATTAATAAATTTATGAATCCAGATATATTAGAATGTGAGCTGTGTTATAAACGTTTTTATGGTATGACAGTCTTAGTAGGACATCCCTGTAGGACGATAAGCTGGATAAATATAAGAACTACACGGACAATAACAGTAAAGGGACGACTATTTGATATTCTAGGGAAGGGATTTTGATTGATTGGTGTTTAACGCTAATTTCAACACTAAGTTGGGCTATTCCGTGGTGGTCAGTTTAAATTTATAGATGAAGGATGGGGAAGGGAAGAGGGCATTATTAACTTTTTTAATCTGTCGCTAATTATGCCTATTTTTCAGCTCTTACCAGGCAACCATATTCATATATGAAATCCTCCTGTCCCCCACCCCAATAAATGAATAAATATCAAATGGTTTTTCTTCTTATTTAACACAAGTTTAAATTGATTGTTTGTTGCTAATTTTTAACGCCCAGTGAAAAATATGTCATGCATGTTCAGGACTCGGTTCAGGAAAACACGAGTTTAAATGTCAGGTATATAATATAAAAACGAAGAGATGTATGATTGCTAATGAGGCAACTATCCACCGGAGTTCAAATATGAAGTGGATGTAAGCAATTATAGGCAACCGTAATTAAGGCCTTCAACAATGACAAAACCCGATACTGTATTAAAAGTCGTCTATAAAAGGCCCGGTGTGAGAAACAATTCAAACGAAAAAACTAACGGCATAATTATACATAACAAAAAATTTACAAAATATCAAATATGAGTCCAGGCATAAACCAACGACAACCACTAAACTACAGGCTCCTGACTTGGGACAGGCACTCAAAGAATATGGCAGGGTTGATATAAAAACGAAGATTGCCAATGAGACAACCCTCCACAAGAGACCAAATGACACAGCAATTAACAGCTATAGGTCACCGTACGGCCTTCAACAATAAGCAAAGCCCATACCGCATAGTCAGCTATAAAAAGCCCCGAAATCACAAATGTAAAACAATTCAAACGAGAAAACTAACGGTCTAATTAATGTACAAAAAAATGAACGAAAAACAAATATGTAACACAGCAACAAACAACCACCACTAAATAACAGGCTCCTGACTTGGGACAGGCACATACATACAGAATGTGGCGGGTTTAAACATGTTAGAGAGATCCGGCCCAACCCGCCCCCCTAACCTGGGACAGTGGTGTAACAGTACAAGAACATGTTTGTGAGCGCTCAACCCTTCCCGAAAGCTGGGACATTGGTGTAACAGTACAATATAAGAACAACCTGCACAAATCAATTGCAATTAGATTAACTCAACAGATCGGTACGACTCGGACACACAAAAAAACCAACTTACATATAGACAATAGACACAAGGCATGCCTAGACACAAAGCACCGAAATAAGAATATTTGCAATTACTGGAAGTTTGTTCAAAGCTAATAACAACTAGTACTGAAATAAATCTTGTTCTCCCAGACTGAAGTATCAATCAGTACACAACCAACGGATTTATTTAAAAAAAAAAAAGAAAACAAAAACAGTCTGAGAAATGTCTTGTATACATTGTATACTTGCATATTGATACATATACAATGAAAATTTTTGAAAAAAAGTGGTCCGATTGTTTTGACCATCGAAATTTTGCAATAGAAATAATAGTTAGGACCAGAAGATTTTCTTCAAGGACCACCAGAGAAAAATGATTTTGAGAACTTTCCGATAGCTTTGCTTTATACAAAAATAATCCAGTTTGGTTACTTTAAAAAAAATTGGATAGACAAGATGTCCGTTTTGATCATATTCGAGACAAACATTGACGAATTTTTGTGCAGTTTAAGATTATTCTTAAAAATCAAATATGGGGGTTTAAGCCAGATTTGTCTAGCAAAATTGAGTTAGAGGAAAGAACAAAGAAAAATGTCACGAACAGAGCACACTTTTACAGTCATGTCTACCGGACGTATCTTTTCTATAAAATCATCGTAAACTTCAATTATGTCATCCAATATAACAAAAATCTGCTATATTCGACGGCAAATTGAATTTTTGTTTTATTGATCTTCCGTAGAATATCTCCAGAAGAGGTCCAGATTCATTTTTTTGGACTCTTCACCAGAAGACATTCTGGAGATGTGCAGAAGAGACCAATAAAACACGCCCCTGATGAAAGAAAGAAACGGGTAGATCCTAACGAATTCCAACGAGACAGCAAGCCAGCAACACAAAAACAACAAAAGAAAATGCATGAATAATTTGTCATTGTGATAACTTACCAGTTAATATCATTGACTGACTGTAAATAATTTAGCATTCACTGACAAATATTTTAGATGAAAAACATCTAATAAGTAGATTTACAACGTGCGTACCAAATATGGAGATGTAAAGTATTCGACCGTGTAAATCTTTACATCGCTATGAGTGAGTAGTCAATTTATTTAAGAAAAAAACTTTATTTCCAGTGACAAATACTTCAACCGTATTCATTAGCTATGTGTTTACATAAAACCCCAACGAGAGCCCCCTCCTCATATCAATTTTTAACTTGTGTCTTTTATTGCACCGGGGTATTCATTTCCTTTTTATTTATAGTATAACATGTATTTCTTCATACTGCAAGTGATGTACTCTTCACTTGAAGAGTGTTATTCTACTTTACTTTAAACTACACTAAATATAGTTCGTCTGACAGTGATTATTTGATAATAATCGGAGTTCGCTTGTTTTTGACTATTCGGAATCCTCTAGTTTTTTATGCATGTAGTGCCGATAAAAAATTTGCCCGCTAATACCATCCTTTCTTTTCATCATTTTAGTACATAGATTTTAATAAGCCATGTTTAAAAATCTTACAAAATCCTTGTATTTTTTTCATAAATATTGAAAGGAAAAAGGTGCCAATGTTAAACATATTAAAAATCTAAGAGAGAATCATTTCCCGCCAAATTTCCAATTGCTTATATCTAAAAAACAAGGACACGGACCGTCATTTTTTCTACTTTTTAAGTTCTTTTTTATATGCTGTCAATTTATATTTGTTATTTTGAATAAAAAGGAGCGAACATCCATAATTCCGATTTTTGTATCGAAAACAAATCTGGTATATAATCAGCGGAGCGCGATTAGTATTTAAATTTTTACGGTGCGGAACCAAAAAAAATCCAGAATTTGAAAAAAAAGCCGACCACCTCCTAAAATGGAAAGGTGGTCGGCTTTCAAAAGAAGGTGGTCGGCACACCCGGCTTAATTGCCGAATGGAAAACTCTGAATTATTGTCAAACATCTGCTGAAAAGTAGGATCGATTTACCTGAAAACTTCACATTACCCAAAGATCATTTTCAATTTTTTCCTCAATATTTGATTACGTTCACATCATCACAGTTTCATGTGGGTACTTACTAAATAGAAGTTCTTACAATATATAACCATGATAACATTGGCTTTTCCCAAACTAATGACAAAGTTAAATTCGCAATATTACCGATTTAGGCAAATTTTGTGTATATAGGCCTATATACAAAATAACAGAAAAAAACATTTTTATCGAAAACTAAAACTTTGTCTGAAGTATAACTATTTACATGTGTATTGTGTTATGCATACAAAACAATTATTTTTCACTAGAGACGTCTGTTGATGCATACCAAAATATGTAAAAGCTACAAATTCGTATCAAAAAGCCTTGAACAGCAACATCTTGCGCTGAATAACATTTTGATTTGATTTGATGGATATATGTTAAATTATTAAAAAAATTACAATAAATGATATCTCCTTTTTTTCAGAAATTATTTTACGTGCTAATTACGTTTTTGGACGCATAAACCCTCCAGTAACGTGTAATAGCGTCGACGAGATAGATGTCTTACACTTTGTATCAATATATTTGGTCCTTACAGAGGAGGAAATTCCAGGTTTGTATCGATCTATCAGGTCCTAACAGAGGAGGAAATTCCAGGTTTGTATCGATTTATCAGGTCCTTACAGAGGTGGGGGGGGGGGGGGGGCATTCCAGGTTTGTATCGATCTATCAGGTCCTTACGGTGGCGGAAATTCCAGGTTTGTATCGATTTATCAGGTCCTTTAAGATAAGGAAATTCCAGGTTTGTATCAATTTATCAGGTCCGTTAAGATAGGGAAATTCCAGGTTTGTATCGAGTTATCAGGTCCTTACAGAAAAAGAAATTTTAGACTTGTATAGATTTATCAGGTCCTTACAGAGAAGGGAATTCCAGGTTTGTATTGATTTATCAGTTCCTCACAGAGGAGAAAATTATGTTTGTATCGATTTATCAGGTCCTCACCGATGAGGACTTCCAGGATTGTATCGATCTATCAGGTCATTACAGAGAAGAAAATTCGAGGTTTGTATCGATTTATCAGATCCTTACAGAGGAGGAGATTCCAGGGTTGTATCGACATATTGGGTCCATACATAGCAGGAATTCCATGTTTGTATCAAATTATCAGTTACTCAAAGTAGAGGAAATTCCAGGTTTGTATCGATCCATCAAGTCCTTTCAGAGGAGAAAATCCCAGGTTTGTATCGATTTATTAGGTCATTACGAAGGAGGAAATTCCAGGTTTGTATCAATTATCAGGTACTTAAAGATGAGGAAATTCCAGGTTTGTATCGATCTATTAGGTCCTTACCGAGGAGGAAATCCCAGGTTTGTATCGATCTATCAGGTTCTTACAGAGAAGGAAACTCCAGGTTTGTATCGATCTATCAGGTTCTTACAGAGAAGGAAACTCCAGGTTTGTATCGATCTAGCAGGTCCTTACAGAGAAGGAAATCCCAGGTTTGTATCGATCTACCATGTCCTTACAGAGGAAGAAATCCCAGTTTTGTATCGATCTATCAGGTCCTTACAGAGAAGGAAATCCCAGGTTTGTATCGATCTATCAGGTCCTTACAGAGGAGAAAAATTCTATATTTGTATCGATTTATCAGGTCCTTACAGAGGAGAAGATTCCAGGGTTGTATCGACATATCAGGTCCATACAGAATAGGAAATTCCATATTTGTATCAATTTATCAGGTACTTAAAGGAGAGGATATTCCAGGTTTGTATCGATCCATCAGGTTCTTACAGAGGAGGAAATCCCAGGTTTGTATTAATTTACCAGGTACTTAAAGAAGAGAAAATTCTAGGTTTGTATCGATCTAACAGGTCCTAACAGAGGAGGAGTTGCAGGTTTGTATCGATGTGTTAGGTCCTTACGGAGGAGGAAATTTCAGGTTTGTATCGATCTATCAGATCTTTACATAGGAATCGAATTATCAGGTCTTACAGAGGAATCGATTTATTAGGTCCTTGTAGAGGAGAAAATTCCATGTTTGTATCGATCTATCGCGTCCTTACAGAGGAGGAAATTCCAGGTTTGTATCGATCTATCAGGTACATACAGAGGAGGAAATCCAGGTTTGTATCGATCTATCAGGTCCTTACAGAGAAAGAAATTCCAGGTTTGTATCGATTTATCAGATCCTTACAGAGGAGGAAATTCCAGGTTTTTATCGATCTGCCAGATCCTTCCAGAGGAGGAAATTCCAGGTTTGTATCGACCTATCAGGTCATTACAGAGGAGGAAATTCCAGGTTTGTATCGACCTATCAGGCCATTACAGAGAAGGAAATTCCAGGTTTGTATTGATCTATCAGGTTCTTACAGAGAAGGAAACTCCAAGTTTGTATCGATCTATCAGGTCGTTACAGAGAAGGGAATTCCAGGTTTGTATCGACCTATCAGGTCCTCACAGAGGAGGAAATTCCAGGTTTGTATCGATCTATCAGGTCATTACAGAGGAGGAAATTCCAGGTGTGTATCGATTAATCAGGTCCTTATGGAGGAGGAAATTCCAGGTTTGTATCGATCTATCAGGTCCTTACAGAGGAGGAAATTCCAGGTTTGTATCGATCTATCAGATCCTTACAGAGAAGGAAATTCTAGGTTTATATCATTATATCAGATACTAACAGAACTGCAAAATTCCAGTTTTTTTTTATCAATATAACACATAATGACAGAACTGCAAAATTCCTGGTTTGTATATATATATACATTGTACCACATACTGACAGAAACATAAAATTCGAGATTTGTATAAATATACCAGCTTTTGACAGAACTGCAAAATTCCAAGTTTTACAAGACCTCATCTCTGTACATGTATATCTTGAAATGAATGAAATATATATTGATTTTATTGAAATAATGCAGTTTAGTATAATTCTTCCTAAATTATTTTCATCAAATTGATACCTCAATATATTTTTAACGGACTCATACATGTTATATCCATATATAAGCAGCTAGAAAACAAAGACGCAATTCGCATAGGAGCAAATGACAAAGGAAAATGAGCTTCAACCTTGTTCTGTTTTCTATTTACCAAATCAAGAATGATTAAATGTTACTATAAAAGAAAAAGAAAAGAGAAATCATGGTAAAATTAGAGTTTTTGAAAACAAATAAAGATGAATGCACAAGAGTTTTAAATTAAAGGTCATTTGAATTGAAGGTCAGTTATACGGTATCACCTTACTTGAGTGTTATACACAAACGGGTTTTTTTTTCGGAAATAAAGATTTAATTATTGTTCGATTATCCGATTTTACCGTTTTAGAAATTGTAAAACAAATGATCGGCTTATCTTGTAATGTTTATTTCGTCCTTATAGGGTCAAAGAATATGACTTCAGAAAGAACAAAGCAAACAATTGGTCAGTTTATGATCAATACCATATCGGACGACATTCTCCACCTGCCATTAGATCACATCACAGGCAAGGGCATTGTCGATAAAGACAGAAGAACTCTGAAAGATCTGTTAGACATTTTCATCGAATTGATTGAAGCGTCAGACTTTGATCCGGAAAATGGTTTGTTTGCCGTTAGCTCAAATCGGTTTATTTAATGTTAACTAAAGTGCTGGTTTATAGAAATTGCTTTTATATAGCATAGAAGCGAAACATTAATTCATGTTTAATATTTGTTTTATTGAACATACTTCTAAGATTTAAATTGCTTTCCTTGTTTTTATAGACAAAAGTCAGTTTTAATGTAACAATCGGGATACATCCAATAACGTTACAAGCATATTTACAGGTTTTAAAAGTCAATACCTCTCATAAACCATGTATTCAATATATAATGCATCGTTTACATGTCGAACAGTTTAACACACGAAGTTTTTCAATCAGGAACACTACAAAATTAAGTAAAACGTATATTTGATTCAACCAAACATAAATTCTACTTGAAACATTGTCCGAAACAATGCTATTGTATCTTTTAAAGTTTAAATGCAAATATTCGATTCCCTTTGGTATGTCAAGAACAATTATTTTCGAAACAATGCTATACATGATATATCTGTTCAGTTAAAAAAAACAAGTTGCTTTCTTAAAAAAAAGAAAAGCAACACGTGAACCCAAGACCGCTGATTGGTCACCAAAAAATATTTGCAGAATTTTTGTTTGCTTTTGAATTGAAATAATTGATTGTGAATAGAATAAGATTATGAATGATGCTGAAACAACTTTATTAAAAATGTGTAACTGTGTGTAGATTCTTGCACAAGTCAGTTGAAAGCAATGTTGGATAGTTGTGAATAGAAAAGTGTATATATACAGCTACTATTTGAACATACATTTTAAAGCTCGACTTTTTTAATTATTACTTGGGAGTGTACATCATTTTTTCATAATCCTATTGCAAATCCCAGTTTCTGCAAACCGGATGTCTAATGCAAATTGCACAAACCAATCGCAATATAAATTTAAGCACTCAGTTTGCTTTATAATCTGGATGTATTTATTTTATCTATCATATCTTCATATTTTGTTTCCTGGATGCCTTCAATTATTCTTAACTCGTTATTTAAGCCGTCTGTTCTCATGGTAGATGTGTATAGATAAATTCAAAGTCCAATTTCCATGTGAAGTGAAACCCTGTGGCATGCAACTTTTAAGAATGTTTCGTATATTTTTCTTGAGAGTAACACACCAGCTTCAATGGGACCTCTTGTATAGAAACTTATTTTTGTCTCATAAAACATCTCAAATTTTAAGGATTTCCTGATTTTACTTAAATCAATCCAAATATTCTACAGGAAAACTTGGTTTTGAAGAATATCTTATTTCAGAAGTTTTATGAATACTGGAACATACTTTTAAAAGAACCAATTTATATAAAAAGATATGTAGATAAAAAAAGATACCACGATTAAAATGTTGTACGCGAGTTAAGGATGTTCGTTCCTCTTGTTTTTGAATTTTTTGCCATATTTTAGGAATCCTCTGGTTTTATCCATGTTTTGCTATTGGAAAATTTTGTCCACTAACCCATACTTTTCTTTTCATAATTTTATTACATATAATTTAAAAAGCCATTTTTGAAAATCTTATAAAATCCTTGTTATTTTTTCATAGATTTTGAAAGAAAAAACGTGCCAATGTTAAATATATGAAAAATCTAGAGAGAATCACTTCCCGCCAAATTTCAATGGCTTATATCTCGAAAACAAGCACGCGGGCCCTTAATTTTTTATTTTTTTTTTTGCTTTTTAAGTTCCTTTATTCATATATTTTCAATTTATAACAGTCTTTTAAAAAGCTTGTTACTTTGAAACAGAGTAGCGAACATCCTTAAGTCTACAAAGAAACATCAGTGACGCTCGAATTAAGAAGTTAAACAGGCAAACGAAGTAGAAAGGAATTCAGGACCCAAAATTTCGAAACGAAGGTTTTGCCGAATACATCTAAAGTAATCTATTCCTGGGGTAGAAAATCCTTAGCATTTCGAAACTGTCAAAGTTTATAATAGGATAGTGACTCAAAAAAGAAGAGAAAAGAGAAACAGCTAGATGTCAGCATACCGTAAGTAATGATGACTGTGCTTGAAAGTCACATCTCAAGCTCTTACTGCCGTGTCCTGAATTTAGATAAGAAAATCGAAAATTCACATTCGCGAGCGAAATTAATATTTATGCATGCACATGGTATTTTTGCGCAAGAAATAGTCAATAGAAAGCATACGCATTGATACTCTGGATAAGAATACGCATTTGCGTCATCACATATATTAATCTAATAGTTGAATTCGGATGTCAAACTACCTACCTCAAGTGTTTTGACTACGGATTCATTGCCATTTAATCCGGAATTTGTGTGAACGCAAACCGATAGTGTGCGTGTGAACAGGGTGATATATCATGTGAATGAACCAAGACGTGTAGGATAGCTGGTTAACTCAATGAATACAATTTTCAAAATCGTACCATAGTGCAAATATTTAGATGCTATAAGGTTGAACTATTAAAACAAACAAACAAAAAAAGAATTGAAATTTTATAATTAACATACATTCATGTTAATGATTTTTTTCGAAAATTTAGAATATAATATCAATAAACACAGACGTCAAGTATTTACGGATGGACATTTTATTTATCAAATTAATTATATTCTATTAAGAATAAATTCAGTCTCAGTTTAAACTTAATAATGAATATTCTCTTGGTCTGGTAGTATCTATTAATGAAATTAGATATTTTTGACAGAAAAATCCTTTTGTTTTATTATCTTTCTGCTTTCCGACCACTGTGTTTCCGACCTAAGATAGATATGTATAACAGAAATATCTTTTTCTTAATTTTCTTCATGCTTTCCGACTTTTCCCATGCTATGATTGAAATACAAAATATCAAATGATAAACGTTCGGAAATAATCAGTTTATTCTGGGACATTATATATCAATAAACTATGTCCAGGTTTATTGTCACAATGCACATGTCATTATATATCAATAAACTATTCCCAGGTTTATTGTCACAATGCACATGTATTAAATACTACACACACAACTCGTACAGGGACCGTCTCAAAGCATGAATTATATAATTGCGTTATCATTATACTTGATGTTTAATAAACATTCGCATTATTAAAACACATATGTTTTGTCAAAAGGCAAATAGGTTCTAACATATAAATGATTTTTTGACTGCAACCTAGTCTTTATTGTTTTGCTATCCAATCTACAAATGAACTTTGATTGTTGAAATATACAATGTCACGTGGTAGCCTATCCATAGAGGGACCGTATCAAAGACATAGATAACTACATGTATAAATGATCGAAAAAATTCGAGACGTTCCGAGAATCTTGATTCCGAGTATATCGAATGGCCCATAGTCACTTCCAACACACCAATATATAGACGTGAACCCCCTGAGGGTTTATTGTCTCAACATTTCATTATAAAATTTGACCTATTTACCTTAAACAGTATCTATTATAGAAATTATAACAATATGATAGGTTAATTTTACATACTAGTCAAATATTGGATTCGGAAACAAATTTTGAAAGAATTTTATAAATCCGTCTTCCATTTAGCAAATTGACCAATTGATAAAATTCCCTAGATGATCCATACTACTTTGATATGCTCCTGAGGTTTGGAGAGTAAACGATAAATATTTATTTAATTGTCGTTGTTACAGTAGTAAGGTTTTTTAAAATGGAATTTTTAGTAATGAAGATGTAGCAGTTTGTTTGAAGTCCCTAACTATGTTTTTAATTCAGTTCAAAGGCTTTTCAGATATGCGACACGTATTTGGTCAATTTTAGATTTACCGTAATAATACTGTAGATTAATAGATATATTATTTATCTAAAGAGTCGATAAACGTTTTTAGTATCAGTAGGGGGATTTATAAATCTGTATTATACATCAAATCAATTTACAACTATTATGATAAAGTTAAATAGACTGCATTGACAAAATAAAAAATCTAACTAAACATCGCTCCAGTATTTCACTTATTTGGCACGTGTTCCATCCATGCTTCTGTGTTGATTGTTTAAGAAGGCCACGATTCGGTAGACTTCGGCAACAAAGCCTGACAGTTAAGTATATTATCAGACAACGTTTGCGATCAACAGTCTCCGAATGAAATATTTTTGGTCGATTACTCGTTCTGGATTCGAAGTAATTGTAAAAAACATATTTGTTGATATAATGCATAACATGTATATATACTACTCATACAAATTAATGCAATAGAAAAATAAGTGTCCATGTATGATACAAAAACTGGATATTTGGTAGTAAAGTTTGATATAATCTATTATATAGATTTTCTTCACGCAAGATACAAACCGACACTAAATCCGACGATCACTAATGTCTTCATGTAAACGATAGGATAATGTGTCATCGTCATGTAAATGTTTGTTCAAAGTAAAGTAAGATTTTAAAAAAAAAGTGAGGAATATGTTTTATTTTATTTTAATGTTTTTTAGGGAGTTAAATACGGATTTCTGGTGATTGTACTTAAACTGCCTGTTTAAAAGCGCAACGTTTAGGCTTAACATTCCTCCTGAAACCGTACCTAAATCATTTTGAATTTGCCCTTTTCTAATTTCAAAATCACACAGTAGTGAATGGGACCTTTAACTTTGATAGTCCTATTTTAGAAACAGCCAGCAGCGTATAAAGCGGACCATGTTCCGGTATATAAGATATTTGTTATCTTTGTTTTGTCTTTTGAAGGGCGAAGTTCACAAGTACGAGACGATATTTTTTTTTAAATGTATGTATATATATATACTGAATACACTTGTATATTCAGTTTATAAACACAAAGTAGACAAACTTCGTCCCGCACCTGTGGCGAAAATATTGCCAATAGATTTCAATATTACATATGGTGTAGCATTCTCCTGTTTTCATTGGATATTACGATCACGTGTTTGAAAGGTTATTTGATGTATCCGAAGCATTGTTTCTATTTTTAAGTATATTAACGCTATGTTTCTATTTATATGTATATTGACGGTCAATATGAAAAATCTTGCTTTTAGATTAATGACGTCATGACGTCACACATAAAAACCATGGAGAAAGCGTCGCAGCAGATGAAAAGAAAATTTGCAAGTTTATCACAAGAATTTTTATGTTAAACGCAGACGCTAAGAATACAAGAAAGCTAACGCAACAAGCTATGGAGTTGTTCAAAGAATATTGATATTTTCAATAACATGTTACAATTCTTGCAAAATACAATTTAAAAATATTCAGAAAGAACATTGAACGCCATTTTCCTAATACATTATTTACATATGTAATATATAAATAAAGGACTTTCACTCAGTCAATACGTTATATATGGACCTGTTAGATTATATTGACACTCGGACTTCGTCCTCGGTAAATATAATCTGACTGAACAGGTCCATATATAACGTATTGACCTCCTCAAAAGTCCATAACTGATAATTATATGAAGGTATTCACATTTCAGACACTCCTTCACTTTTGAGGGATAGCAGGACTATCCCACCAAGCATCAGGTAGGTAAAATGTACAAAAGTTCCATCCACCTCGAACATATAAATGTACTTCTCTAATTTTTGTGCTATTTTCACATTTCTTGATCGGTGTGAGAAAAATATTTCTCCTCACTAGTGAAATATCTGTTCTCGGCAAATGATTGGTCGAAATTTAATTATGACGTCAAATTTTCTTGGTTTCTTCTGAATTTTCCTATTGTGACGTCATGAAAGAAGCCGACCATGTCTGATGATGTCACATATAAAGAACACAACTTTCTGCAAATCTTTGGAAAGGAAGGATAAAAATCATAAGAGAAACAGATTCCACCACTATAACTCGTGTATTATGATATTTCTCCACTCTCAACAGTTAAATCTTAATTATTTAAAAAGCTCGGCAAGCCTCGCGCTTTAGATATTAAAATTTAACTGTCTCGAGTGGAGAAATATCGTAACACACTTGTTGCAGTGGTGGAATCTATATATAACAGCCAACGTTACGTTGTATTTTTCTCCATTTGCTAGAGTTGACAAGTCTGTTAAAACAAACTACTTTACAATACATCTATATTTATTAAATGTTACAAGTTTAATGCTGCAATCCATCATGACATACTTAGTACTCATTGTTGTAAAGATAGTAGATGAAATACATTTAAAAAAGGAAAAAAAGTTATTTAAATTGTTAAAAATGATATATCATTATTGAAATTAATGCCGTAGCGAAAGTCAGGTCGCATTTTTGACGAATGACATATTTGATGTCACATGTTGAACAGGATGTGTTTAATATACCTTAACATAGTTCTTCGTCCTGAATATTCATTTAATTTGCCTTGTGGACGTTAAAACAGCCATCCACCATCATTATCCTCCTTAAGGTACCACAAAAGACTTAATATTTGTAATTACAACTCTTATTCCTTAATTTTAATTGTACCTCCAATTTTTTACATTATTTCTTGAAAAACATATACTGTGGTACTCCTCTAGCCCATATTCATACTAAAGATATATTTCTATTGTTTTGCTTTCAAAAGACATGCCTTGAGAGATATCGAAGTAAGTGCAGCACAGATGATTGGATCGATATCAAAATTAAAGGATGCTGCATCATCAAAAAAGGCACAGGTTGGTTTGCAATATCATTGTTATTTTTAAAAAATAAAAATTATAGTTTAATTTTAAATTATGACCGTAAGCAAACGCATAAGAGTTTTATCGTTATTCCGGAAATAAGATTGCAGATTGTCCCAAGTCCGCGTTTTAAAGGAATGCATTATACTGTTCCATTGAAATAAAGCCAAACAACTTAACGTGAGGGTACCTAAATTGCACATATTTTGATGGTTTTTTTTTCCCACCTACGTTTATTTTAGAAACAGACAAAAGTTTCCGTGATGCGCTTATTTTGTAGGTGTTTTATTCATTACTATATAGTTCCACAAATTTAATTTGAATCCATACTGAATCATAGAAAAACTTGTTTGAAGCAACTTATGTTGAAAGACGTGCATAATGACAAATTATAAAAAAAATACAAATTGTTTAGGTTCTAGGAAAACCTGTAACATTTCTACTGCTTTTTAGCAAAATGGGTGCAAATTGGGTGTTCGGTGCAATTTGGGTCCTGTGGCGTTACCAGTTCAACGTAAAACATGCTTCATGAGAATAACAATCGAAATGAATAAGATCTAGTTGCTGCTCACATTAAAATAATTTTATTGTTACCCTTTGAGATCAAAGGCATTTTTCAGCAACACACGTTAACCTTTAACGGAAATTACAATAACCCTTAGAATATTAAAAAATAATACTATACACACTTCTGATATATATGAATAGTCATAAGATAATCAACACGATGGGTAACACATGTGGAGCAAGATATTCTTTCCCTTTTTGGAGCACCGGTGATCACTCCAGGTTTTTGTGGGGTTCTTGTTACTCAGTCTTTAGTTTTCTATATGTCGTGTTTTATAGACTGTGTGTTTTTCGTCGTTTTTTTTCCCGTTTTTTCGATGGTACTGTCAGTTTGCTTACGACCTATGAGTTTGAATGTCACTTTGATATATTCCGCCGCTTTTGTATAGAATTAAACTAACGTTGTAAATATTAAAACAGCATTGAGTTGGTAATTTCTACTAGATAGAATAAAAAATATTTCTATCCATCAAATTTTTTAATTAACTAATTTGTATTATATATTAATTTCTATCGCTTTATTAAAGACAAGATTTACCCAGACCACGCCTACACAGTTTATGTCATCATCTACTAGTCCTGTTACATGGGGAAAAGTTCTGTACAATTATCAAGACAAAGGTAATTGGAATATTTTGAATGTACATATGAATAATCCCAATGATCTGTGTTTTTTTTTTCAATGTAATTTGCTAAGTCCTACATTAATATAATTGTATAGCTTTCGACGAATATTTCAAATTAAACCGAAACATTATTTCTTTTTTTCCAACGAGAGTGTCGGCGTTGGCATCGACAGTTTCGTCAATATTAAATGTTTAAAAGCTTTCTGATGATGTTCTTTCCTGAAATATTTGCCACTGGACGTTAAGTTGATATTTGATATACAGTTGCATCATCATATAGATATAAGAAGATGTGGTATGAGTGCCAATGAGACAACTCTCCATCCAAGTCAAAGTTTATAAAAGTAAACCATTATAGGTCAAAGTACGGTCTTCAACACGGAGCCTTGGCTCACACCGAACAGCAAGCTATAAAGGGCCCCAAAAATTACTAGTGTCAAACCATTCAAACGGGAAAATCAACGGTCTAATCTATATAAAAAAGAGAAACGAGAAACACTTATGAACCACATCAACAAACGACAACTACTGAACGTCAGATTCCTGACTTAGGACAGGTGCAAACAATTGCAGCGAGTTTAAACGTTTTAATGGTACTAAACCTTCCCCCTTTTTCTGAAACAATAGTGTAACATCACAACATAGAAAGACACACTATAAAATATCAACTGAAATCAATCAAAGGACATATTAACACCAGTGAACATACACTGAACAAATAAATTTGACCTATGATACAATATAAATACAAAATAAATAAACTAAGGAAATAATAATAAAAGAAACATGTTATACCGCTATGAAATGTTAAACAATTTAAGAAAAACAATATGCTCGAACAAAAATATCAGCCATTTGCAATTACTTTAAACACAGGTAAATACATTCATGTCAATTTGTAAAGAGTGTATGTACACAAGGACCCGGGACCCGTCATGGTCCAGTTACATCAAAATGTAAATATTGATATGAATAAATGATGTTGGGTCGGAGGTGCTGTCCAGGCACTCTGTCTCCCTCAACCAATCGAAACTGAAAGCAACAATATAGCCAGAGTACTGAAAGTGGCGTTACGGTGACCTATAGTTGTTAACTTCTATGTCATTTGGTCTCTGGTGGAGAACTGTCTCGTTGGCAATTGTACCACATCTTCTAATTTTTATATTAAACAACCACACTCAATCAATTAACTATATTTGCTGTATGTCTGGCAAGGTTCAACTGAACTTGAAATCATGTCCATAGTTCGTCGATTATCTTAAGTTTATGAAATAGTATTAAAACCTTTTTCTTAAAGACTTTCAACATGAATTCAATCATTATGAATTAAAAATAAAGCAGTCAAGACATTTGAGCGGGTGCACGTTTGTTACTTATGATTTCAGCACTACTGCAATTTAATGCTTCTACAAGCAATGTACATATTGTGTTTTGTAAAGCTAAGTTCAAAATAGACACAGGAATGTATGGCGTGTAACATTGCGTGTTTACATTATCAACAGTAACAGTGCTATATTTGAATTTGAGCTTTTTTGTTTTTTTGCTCTTTTCTTCTATTGATAGTTCTAATAGTTGGTTATATATTTGGAAATGTAGTTAGTAAAACAAATAAGGAGATGTGGTATGATTGTCAATGAGACAACTATCCACAAAAGTTCAAATGAAGTGGATGTAAGCAATTACACGCAACCACACAGCCTTCAACAATGAGAAAAAACCCATACCGTATAGTCGCCTATAAAAGCCCGACATGAAAAATATGAAACAATTCAATTGAGAAAACATGCAAATGTTTATATGCCTTTCCAATTTGTCTGGTATTAAGAATTTGTGATTTGATATTTAAGGTTATTAATAACGTTAAACGTGACCGTTTTGCTGCTATTAGTGTAGAAGGTATATCAATTGCAATAGGTAAACAGAACAAACAATTTGAAAGTCAGCTACCATCAAGAAGAGCCCTAGGGTCATTGTCTAACTATTCTCCACGTCGTTTGACAAAATCTTGCAAACTAAAACCCGTCATCAGTACAAAATGTAAACGCTCAAGTCCAGTTGTTTTCCAGAGGAAAAGGAGTACTGTAAAGCCAAGACCAGGTCAGTAACTTTAATGTTTAAAAACTGTATTGTATTATAGATTTTTTTTTTAATGTGAATTTCTACTTTCTTTTGATTTTGACAAACATTTTCGAAATATTTCCCCATTAAATATGAGTATATAAATTCACCATAGATACCATTTATGGCAATATTAAAATTTTGTACGCCAGACGCATGTTTCGTCTACAAAAGACTCACCAGTGACGCTCGATTAAAAAAGTTAAATGGCCAAATAAAGTACGAAGTTCAAAGAGCATTGCGGACCCAAAATTACGAACGGTTTTGCCAAATACAGAAAGGAGATAGGACGTACATTACAGTGAAGCACGAATTAACTTAGTACAGTGTGTTTAAACTTAATTAGTATCTATTTATTCATAGTAAATCTTTTCACACAAAAATCCCTTTACACCCTTTCAAAAATAACAAAAGCAAAAAAGCATCGCTTATATTGCAATTATTCATCTTCAAGATAATTCAATTCCGTAGAAAGTAACATATTGCCAATGAGACAACTTTCTACCAGAGATCATATGACTCATATGTAAGCAACTTAAGGTCACCGTGCGGACTTCAACAACATACAAATACCGCATAGCAAGTTATAAAAGGCCCCAACATGACAAAAACAAAGGTCTGATTTATGCACAAAACAATAAACGAATACAAATATACTATACAACAAACGATAACCCCTGAACTACTTATACAGGCTCCTGACTTTGATACGGTATTGTATTATAACATGTATTGTACTTACAGTCAAAACAAAGATAACAAACAAAGAAAACAACGAACAAGCATTAGGTGATGAACTGGAAAAAGTTAAAGAAAGACGAAAAGAAATCACACAACAAATATATCAGGTAATACATTAACTTTTTCATACATACAGAATTGAATATTTATGTTTAAACATTTATCTATATAGTTCCTATTTATTTACGTAGAAATTTTTGGAAAGTTTATTTTGGGAATTTCAAAAAGTCTTTACAAGGTCTTGACTTGGATTGTCAGTGAGTCGATCGAGTTTACACATCAACAAAAACTCGTTCAAAATATCAATATGTGTATAATATATTGCCAGTTAAAGAAATTGCATACAACTGCAGATCTTGTCTTAATGCAATTCAAGTTTCATAGCACTTAGTGAGAGTTAATATTATCTTTTTTTGAGATGTTATCTCAGGTGTTTTTGTATGATAGTTTTATTTTGAACTGCAAATACATTAAATCTGTGTCGAATTTGCTTATTAGTTACAGAACGAAGATCAACGTTTACAAACACTTCAATCCATCATGACAAAAGAATTGAGACTGTTACAAGTTGGCGTAAGTTTGTTGAATACCGACGACTCTTATGTAGACAATTTATTGATTGATTGTTGCCGCCTGCTTAACGTCCAGTGACAACCACTTTATGCATATTCAGCACGAAAACAAATTAACAATTGATACATTGAGTAGGTTATTCAAAAAAGGTCGACCGGGATGAAAGTGAGAACATTTTGACTCGCACTTTAAAATGATGGTATGTTGATAGGGCCAGAAATTTTGCCTTGCAACAGGCAATCTTCGGACCCCTCAGAGAGTTGTTGCATAGGTTCAATAACGTTTTAAAGAGAAATGACACTCCCCATACACCAGGCCAATCAATTAATGTCCCCATTCCGTCTGGACGTGACTGCGTATTTATACATCCTTCACAGCCGAAACCAATGTTCATTGATTTCGTGGTTACAGGTGAACCACGAATTAAAATGTTCAACGAAGTACAAATTTTCTATAGGCTTTCAGTTGTATGCAGACTTTAGTAAAACCACGAAATCAAATATCCAAGACCCCATTATTTTCTATTCTATAACTATTTCGCTTATTTTTTTTTTCTATATTTTGTTTGCCCGTTATCCTCTATTCTGTAAACCCCATCAAAACCATCTTACATATAATCTAATGTATAATTAATATCAAAATACAATCAACGAAATGTAAGATTTACAGTGTATAACTTTAATGGAGAGTAATCAAATCTTTTTGTTTTGAAAGCATGATTAGTTGCCACCTGTAAAGAAGGATAACTAGCAATTACTATTTATACTTCACAAGAGAGAAATCAAAGATACCAAAGGGATACTCAAACTCGTAAGTCGAAAACGAACTAACAATGTCATGGCAAAAAACGAAAAACAAACTGACAATGTCATGGCAAAAAACAAACTGACAATGTCATGGCAAAAAACAAACTGACAATGTCATGGCAAAAAACAAACTGACAATGTCATGGCAAAAAACGAAAAACGGCTAAAAGACAAACAACAGTTTACAAAAAGACAACTTATCAATGATCTGCCAGTGTTTAGCTAGATTGTATCGCTTGTTATGCATCATGTCTATTGCTAGGTATAAAGCAATCTTAGCAAAATGTCTATTATATTCAGCAAAATGACAGTTGTTTTCTATTCGTTCTGTTGGTTGATATTGTGGAGCGTTTGAATTTGTCAGGTTTTAAGACCTTCCCTTTTGGTATCCTTCGCCTCTCTTTCCCCCCTTTTTGAAATTATCTTGGATTACGGTAAGGTTTTTAATACTTTTTATGATTATAATCAAATGTTTAAAATTAAAGTATTACATATGTTTTTTGACTTCTTTGTAGAATTCGAAAGAGCCAAGGAAATTACAAAAAAGTTTGACACGACGGATTACGTCGTCAGCTGTTACAAGACCAGTCTGTTTTAGGTGATACAAAAGGATGACCAGCTGACCTTTCAACTCTTTCTATTGCATTCTGGTGACAAAATGTACTTATATAGACAATTAAGAATCAATTAAAAATTTAATCTGTTCATTCTTCACTTCATATAAGAATATGTCTTGTAATTGATATATAAGGGCACACGCAGTGGTCGGCGAACGAATTATATAGTGTTTTGCATAATATAAAATAAGAAAATATAGTATGATGCCAATGAAACAACTATCAACTAGAGCAATAATGACGTGAATTAAAACAACTATAGATCACCGTACGGCCATTAACGATGAGCAAAACCTATACAGTATAACAAGCTGTACAAAGCCCGTCATTTCTAACGACCGTTCTTGGAACACGCATATTTAATAAGTGGCGGAGTTTAACATGTTTGTCGGCTTTTAACCCCTGGATCAACCCTCACTTGGCTTGATTAGAAGTCAGAAGTTAAAATGGATTGACTCATAAGATTGGCAAGGAGCACAAAAATACAAAATAAATGCTAATATAAATAGAAAAGACACAAAGTAACAATCCAAGAGTTCATTTGTTTCTTCTTTCGCTTATTTGTGTGCTCTTGTGAAGGAATTTCGTTAGATACGATTGATAGTTGTTAGGAGAGTTCCGGGATAAACGAGAGTCGAAGGATATCAAAGAGACATTAAAACTCATAAGTCGAAAATGAACTTGCAACGTCATGGCAAAAAAAGACCAAATGACACACAACAGTATACGAAACACAACACGGAAAACTAACGACCAAGTAAGACGAACACCAACAAAAAACAGGGTGATCTCAGTTGCTCCGGAAGGGTGAGCAGTTCCTGCCCTACATGTGGCACCGGGATAACTATTGTGTCAATGAGAAGATTGAAAAGGTTATATCACGTGACATTTTTCACTGCATCCGCCTAGTTTCTTAATGGCAAATAAGGCAAATGTGATAATTGAAATACATTTCTTTTTAAAGTAAAGTCGACCACGTTTTTCTAGTTTGACCCAATCACACTGACTTTTAAAAACCAATCGTAAGGTGACATTGCCCATTTACTGATGTTTTCAAGTAGACTACTTTGTATTGATCTACATTGATTTCTGACGTTATAACTTGACTTTTGTGTGTATCCAACACTGTAAAACGGACAGTTTTGGAACAAAAGTATTGGCAATCATACCTTATCTCCTTATTTGTATAAAAGGGTACCAAGGGTCTTTGAATTTTGTTTCACTTTGTGCTGTTCCACGGGTAGTGCTTAACGTCTTCATATCGAGGATCGTATAGTAATTTTGTCATAATTTGGTTAAGTTGGTCATGGACTAGTTAGGTTATTTCCCAGAACGATTGCCTCAATTCTTTTCAAATGAGCAAATAAAAAGCAAATTACACGTTTGAATCTATATTGTAAGGCAAACGATCTAAATTGAAATTGTTGTTTTTAAGAACCTAACGCAGGATAACCAAAATATCGAAGTTGGTATGGTTTGGTTAATCGGTTGACATGGTTCAGTTAAGTACTAGAAATTCGTCATGATTTTGATCAAATTTGTTATGGTTAAGATCCAAATTAATACATATTTGTTTCACCTTAATATTGATATATAGTTTGTTTGAAGGCGCTTGTGAAAAAATGAAGTTACTTAATTTACCAATTGAATAAGAAGGAAAAAAGGCCTTTTTTACCAAATTTGGTGGACGTAATCGGCAGACCGTACATTTGTACAGTTTTATTTTTGGTATTTTCCTAAGATATAATTTATATAGCCACTATGGACTTTAGCGGAAATTTGTTGTGGACTATAGTGGTGTTGTGGACTTTAGATGAAGTGTGGACTTTAACGGTGCCACAAGCCACTGCTGTTTTTAACTGCCATTCGATATAATAAATTAAAAAAACAGAAAGCGTTGCTTCTGTTCCACCTAGATTCTTTTTTATCCATATGTCCATGATGGACTCTGCCAGGGATAATTATCATGAGAGGCATCACTAGTCAAATGATTGAAGACGTCTGCTTACACAGTGCAAAACGTAGCAACTAGAAAGAAAATAATATTTGTTTTACATTTTTTCTAGCAAACTAAACATCTGCTGTTTTTATTTGAACCAGATTATGTCTATGATGATTGAATAAAAGGAGACCAGGGGGGGGGGGGCTGTGTTTTACGCCCATGATACAGTAACTACAAAACTAACCAAACGATAGGGGGCACTATACAGTCTTCAACCCTCCACGGAAGGAACAAAATGTTAGTATGAACAAAAGTTTGAACTTATTTTTTTAATAAACTTTAAGTGAAATTTATATAAAAAATACTATCAAAGTTCCGAATTAATATATATGACAGGTCACAATTTCGAATTAGAAATAAGGTCATCATAGATATAAGAAGATGTGGTATGAGTGCCAATCAGACAACTCTCCATCCAAATCAAAATATATAAAAGTAAACCATTATAGGTCAAAGTACGGTCTTCAACACGGAGCCTTGGCTCACACCGAACAGCAAGCTATAAAGGGCCCCAAACATTACTAGTGTTAAACCATTCAAACGGGAAAACCAACGGTCTAATCTATATAAAAAACGAGAAACGAGAAACACTTATGAACCACATCAACAAACGACAACCACTGACTATCATGTCCATTACGAATGAATAACAATGATTATGTTTTTGTCATTCTGTATAAGTGTAATGTGTAGTATCACTTAACCCGTTTAAGCAATTTTCTTTCTTTTATGCATTAAAGTTCCGACAATATCAGAAAAAGTTCTGTCGGTCTTGTATTTACATGTAGTATGAGAAAATGTACATTACTAAATGTAATCGAAAAAGATACACGTGTTATTTTGTTTCGTACAAGTACATTTAAACTGTGCACGGCCTTATTTTCTTGACCCGACTAGACGAGAAATCACAGAGAATAAGATGGATGAAGATGAATATTAGCAGCAGAATTCCATTCTGAAATTTTAAAAAAAGAAACCTAATGTCTTGGATTCATGATTTTTTTTATTAGTTGTGATTGCCTTGGAAATTCCAGTAAATGCAAATACTCACAGATCGGTTCTTTGTGTCTTTGGTGTTTATGTGATTTGATTATTTTGCTTTGTATCGATCTGATGAGTCAAGTCCTTTTCAACTAATTTTCATAGTTTGTTGTGCTGTTACACTTGTGCCCAGGTTAAGACAAGGGGAGGGTTGGGAGCCTGCAAACGATTAAACCACTCCATATTCTGTATGTGCCTGTCTTAAGCCTGTAATACAGGGGCTGTCGTTTTTTCCCGTATATCATATTTGTTTTTTGCTTATTGTTTTGAACAACATAAATTAGGCGGTCGGTTTTCTAATTTGAATTGCTTTACCTTTCATTTTGTCGGAGCCTTTAATTGCTTGGTATTAAAGATGTATGGGTTTTGTTAATTGTTGAAGGCCGTACGGCGGCCTAACAATTACGTCATTTGGTCTCGGGTGGATAGTTGTCTCATTGGAAATAATATCGCATCTACTGATTACATATTACTATGTGCTGTCTTAGGTCCTTTTGTATTCCGTATAAAATCACGTTTAAAGAAAATTGCGATTGAAATGCATTAATATATCACCCTCGTGTCTCTTTATTCATGCGTGATCACTATAATGATAATATCTTTAATTTACTGTAGATGACTTATTTTCTCGAGCGATGTATTTTCGCGAGTAGAAGATCAACGTTAATATGTGCAACTCAGGTCTACTCGTATTGGAACAAAACAACAATATAAGGAAATAGCGACAATACATTGCCTCAAAATAGGATAGAATGGGTTAAACGCGAAAAAAAAAGTATCAGCGAAAGTATTTTTTTAACAGTATTTCAATAGTTGTACATAAGGTCTGTTTATTTTGATCGTTACACTTCCATCATACACGACAGGTATCACAGAACTGAACCATGTCGAACATGAACTAAACCATGACATTACTGAACCAAACCATGACACCGAATTTTCAGTAATCTTAAATTGTGTGCAAATATAGTTTTTTTTCGGAAAAAATGGACGCAGGGTTATATCATAACGAAATCTGTGACGTAACAGACAGTAGACAAATCACTTTTATTTATGCATAAGAAACGAATTATCAATTTAGCATATTAGCCATAAACAAAGATACTTACCTGCTTGAATTTATGTTCAGAAGTTCCTTTAGCAAAAAATCCGAATGTGTATATTGTGTCATTGTTTGTACATTAAAAACACTTAACACAATCATGTGCAACTTTAACAAACTATGACAAAATCACTGTACTAAGCGATCATCGATATGACGACGTTACTACCCGTATGATACAAATGAATGTCAGATTTTTAGGGTTTTTTTTTTTTGTCTTGCCTTGAAGCTATTTAGTGCTTGACATCGTTTGACTCTCTTTCAGGACTTGATATTTTGTTTGTTTTATTTTGTCTCGTCTTATACTTTTTCATACATTTATTTACATCATTTCATTGAAGACTGGTTTTATTGAGCAGTTGAAATAAAAGAAATAGATCCATGAACTCTTTATTTAACATCCAGCATCATTTTATTTTGGAACAGCCGTCATAATCTTATGTAAACAACTAGTGACGTCATTTAAGGTTCCGACGCAGAAGTATGTTCTGTAGACATATCGATGAACTCCTGTACCATGAGGTCTCTTATAGAAAATAACATTGAATTTTGAAGTTGTACTAGCGAAATTTGTACTTTTGTAGAAATGGCTGTCGTAATTTTCATGTATATCTGTATCCTGCCCTGTTGGGGTATACGCTCCAAGTGCATAATTATGGTCTGGAGTCGATCGAATAACTGGTAAATGTTTATCATGATAATTTTCAGCAAGCCTTGTAGATGGATTAAATGTGAATTGTTTTGAAAATTCGTAGGTCAGGTAAACTGCAGGTGATTCCATCTGAATAAACAATTCGTCTTGAGGCCAGTTTCCTCCTATTGTAAAATTTGATACAAATTCAAAACAATTATTTATTTCATGTGTTCCTATTGTTATCTTTTTGTGGAAAGGATAGTCGTATGTTGTGTGGTAGCCGTGGTGTGCAGGACATAATCGTCCATAATTACAATCATAGTGAGTTCCTGCTGTAGGCTTAACTGGCTTCCAAAAAGCTGGATGAACCTGACAAAAGATTACAAATCAAATATTTATGTATGCTTTTACTTTGTGCGCGGTCGACTTAAGTAAACGCAAGCATCAAATATTAGAAAATTATTCCGGTGAATAGTTATTATTCTATTATTATTTTATTCTGTTATTATAATTTTGTTTATTTTAATTGTTTTTATCATTATTATTAGTAGTAGTAGTAGTATTGTTTTTATTATTAGTATTATTACTATTATTAGTAGTAAAAGTATTTTTTGTCTGTACTTTTCTCCATACAATCCATATTATTCAAACAATTGTTTTGCATGACATGTCTTCTTGATGTTTTGACCCGTCGAATTTTTATGCGTCTGGCCCAAGTCACGAGTTGGACGGTTGTCTTACTTATATCACAACTGTTAGTTGTGTTATTGTGGGTATTATATGGAGACGAATATCGATGAGAGTTTATCCTAAAGTTATACACAACTCTTGTAAACTTAATTACAAATTGTAGTTAACTCTTTTTCTATATACTAGAATACATGTATGAATATTAATTTCTATCATGTAAACAATGGATGAAGAGGATATCACAGTTTTAGCTGGGCGGTATTAAAAAGAAAAAAAAACTTTACACTTTTTAGAAAAGTCGACTGATTTTGATAATTTAACCTAATAAGTGTAATATGCGAATTTCCGAGTATTTATTTTCATTTAACTATTATGATGCTCAGCTGTGTTTTGCAAAGCCTTTGCAAATTTTGGATCCCCAATTCTCTTCAACTTCATATTTTATAACTTTTTAACTTTTTTTTTCAAGCGTCGCTGATGAGCCTTTTGAAGACGAAACGCGCGTCTAGGGTACAACAATTTAATCTGGTATCATGAGTTTATTTCCATTACATTCAATCAAAACATTCGTTGCTTTTCCCTTTCATTAGTCATGCAAAACGTCTTTTTTCAATAGTTAGAACAATATCAAAATAAATTCAAATGATTACTATAAATGAATACATTTATTATTTGAATTTCATGTAACATTGTTATACTTTATTGTTGTAATTTTTCATTAATAAATACTGTTTAAACTAATAATACAATTAAGAGCAAAACGTCATTGGATTACCGTGTTTTATAATTTATGTGGAATCATCATATTTACTTACCATGCTTTCCATAACATTTCCATGAACATGAACCCAATCTATATGAGTGTGGGTTGTTTGGAGTGCGGCGTCACAAGCACCACCAGCTTCTGTAGGGTTATAACACTCGGTGTATTTGTTGGTGTTGCATGCCATCTGCATCTGACGCCCGTGATCCCAAGAGTTGATAAATTCTTTATTGTTCCATGTAAGACTGTCCACTGCGCCACCTGTTCGTGTAGAGGAACCGATATATATTCCATGATTTGATACAGTCCAGCGGCCTTCGAAATTGTTACTAGTTGATAATCCATTACGGTGTTCAGAGCTGTGAAACGTCAGATAATGCTGAATGGCGGCTCTATAATTATTTCCAAAAGCTTTTTGGAGATCGGGATACCTATAAAAATATTCAAATAAGGTTACAGACATGATATGTGACAAACAAGAAGACGTTAATTTTTTTAATACCTTGTCTCGAATTTATGTTTTGCATTTGAATCAACTTATTTCGGATTACTATATTTAGAAGTAATCCGTTTGATTTGTTTTTTTTTTTTTTTCTTTCTTTTTAATTTGCAGGTATCAATTGGCGATTTGATGGTTGCAAATTGAAATTACGGACAACACGGTTGAAGGCCAGTAAACGGATATTTACGATGGTCAAATCAAAAACTAATGCCTGCAAGTTTTTGAATAAAATGCTGTTAACTCCATTCTAATGCAACAGAAAGAAAGTGCCGCCGAATCATACATTTTAAAATCAGTCAAGAAAGCACAATTTCAGACTATGATGGCATCAAACGAAGTATTGATTCTATGACTGTTTTGGAGTTATGCTTTAACAATACAAATAACCTTCCATTAGAATAAAATTATTATGTTTTCCATATCTCATGATCATTTTTGTCCCCCGCGTAACGCGATCGGGGGACATGGAAATACCGGGCATCTGTCCGTCCGTCCGGTCTTGTTAGCGCTCTCACAGGTACAAATCTTGCCAGATTTTTATAAAACTTATACTATAGGTTAATATCAGCAATATCTCGGACAAGTTCTATAATGGTGGACGATCGACTTTTTAAAAAGAATTATGCCCCTTGAAAATATTAAATTTATGGAAAATGGCCTCGTTAGCACTCTCACGGGTACAATGCTTGCCAGATTTTTATAAACTTATACTATAGGTTAATATCAGCAATATCTCGGACAAGTTCTATAAGGTTGGCCGATCGACTCTTTTTAAAAGAGTTATGCCCTTGGAAATATAAAATTTATGGAAAATGGCATCGTTAGCGCTCTCACGGGTACATTTCTAGTTAGATTTTTATAAAACTTATACAATTTGTTAATATCAGCAATATCTCGGACAAGTGCTATAATGGTGGACGATCTACTTTTTTTAAAAGAGTTATGCCCCTTTGAAATATCAAATTTATGGAAAATGGTCTCGTTAGCGCTCTCAAGGGTACAATTCTTGCCAGATTTTTATAAAACTTATACTATAGGTTAATATCAGCAATATCTCGGACAAGTTCTATAATAGTGGCTGATCGACTTTTTTTTAAAAGAGTAATGCCCCTTGGAAATATAAAATATGTGCAACGCGGGGGACATTGGAACACTGTTCTTTTATAGTTCTTCTCTTTCCTCCTCAAACCAATTTGTTTTGCCATTGCTAATGACTAGTATAAATCAAAGTGTAGGCCATCTGTCAGTCTTAATCTTCTGTTTAAGTAGTAGATTATTGTACAAAGTTAAAGTCACAACTAGGTAAACGGTATACGACAATAATAATCATATAACTAGCTTTGTTCAGGGCAGACACTTTGTGTTTAGGTAGTAGTCTCAGAATTATCTGTTACATTATACCTTGCAATGTACTCTTTTGAATGAAACTGTCCAGATCCCTGCCATCCAGCATCTATGCCATGCGTAAGCCAGTGTTGTTTCACAGCTTCCGGTGTATTTACAGAATGGGAAATCACTTGATGGTGATTGTTAGAATAAAAAACAGGGTCAAAAACTTCAGGTGATGCCAAGTCTACAGCTTCGACATGCGTTTCTGAAAAAGAATGGTATGGATAAAATTATTTTACCATTGTGATCATCAAGTCTAGTACGCAATAATGAGGTAGGTTTGACCTTTGAAAGAGTGTGAAGTCAGATCAGCTAATGCATTGACATTATTCATTTTCCTAATCCGAAAATATCTTAATCCTAAGTTTTGTTCTTTCTTTCTTTTCTGCAATTCTTTTATACATTTTTTTTCATTTTTATTTGCTTTTTTTTATTTTTTTTTTTTTGGAAAAAAGATGGCAAAGACGATCAAAATTTGAATCTGAAGCTTAAAATATATTGACAAGGTAGCTGTTCTGTCAAAACCGGAAGAAATACTACGGTCAAAGATAGATAATAGAATTTTTTTCTCTTCCACGTATGAGCCTTTTGTATTTTACTGGTAGTCTAGATTGACCTAGCTTTTAAAGTTCACACTTACATACAATCTGTCAGTCATTAAATTTTCATGACATCCATATCTTTTTCAAAACTTCATGGAATGTTACAAATTTTAGACAAAACTTTCTTCATGATAGAAAAAATCACCCGAGGGAAATGTACGATGTTTTTCATTTGCTGTATTAGTTTTTGGTTGTCAACATTATACTTTTGCAGTAGCATTGACCGTCGAAACAAATGTTTCTGTGTAACCCTTAACAATTTTGTATATACAATTATTTCTGTTGTTCTATCGCTGGTTATGTCTCTGCACTATAGAATCATTGAATACGTGAGGAGCAATTTGCCCAAAAAGGACCTAGGAAAAATTCTAAGGTCAACTTAGCCTGATGGAAATGCATTCATAGCTTCTCAGTGATTTCTTAATTACTAACACTGTCTCTACACGAGGTATTGGATTTAACGACTTCAGTAAGTCACAAAAGAAAAGGCTCATCTCATTTAAATACGACTCTGCAACATCCATGTAAGCATGGCACCAGCACAAATAATCAGGTTTTACATTATCTCGTTTCCACATTCTAGCATTCATTATTGGACTGTTGCTTGCTTAACTTCTTGTATCAATTATGTCATCCATATGCAGGACGATTAATAATTAAATCCGAAGTAAGTTCTTCAAACTAGTTCGACTGGGGTGAAGGGTTTGGAATTTGGACTGCCTCAGAAAAAAACAGGATATATTGGACAGTGGCCAGAATGTAGCCGTGCAACATGTCCCAATAGTACCTTTATAGAATATGACACTCCCGTATTAGATCAACGAACGACTCAATTCCGACCTGATGTTGCTGCGTATTTCTACATCCATAAAAGACGAATGTCACGTGTAGATCAGGATCAGTCTACCCTTCCGAAGGGTTCGAGATCATTCCCGGTATTCGTGGGGTTCGTGTTGCTCAGTCTTTAGTTTTTTTTTTCGACTTCCAATATATCCCTTTGGCATCTTTAGCCTATCTTTTACAGCCTAACGGACGCCCAGCTTTAAATAGCAAGGATTTCAATGCAGGAATAGGAGAGGTCAAAATGATTATATGTATTTACCACAGGTAACCTTTAGGAGTTGGTATGAAAATGTGTATCTTAATCTTTTGTTTTCTAACACTCCGTAAGTATCATTACAGTCTCCTTTGGATGAGTTTATGTTCAATTGTTATTTACCTGACATTAAAAGTGCTATCCAAACAACAAACATCATCATATATCGACTGATCTTAAACATGGTCGTCTCAAGTCAGAGTTACATAATATACTGACGTTAAAGTATGGATAAGTATGTCACTGATAAGAGTTAGCCAGATGATATACAAAGTTGTGTACTTATCTATCATTTTAATAAACTTATTCTAAAAGGTTGTCAATTCAACACTGTAATTAGATCTTTGAATATTGTTTTTATTGGTATGAATATTGATTAGGTTTCAGTAAATTAAAACCAAACTAAATATCATTGTAATGATACATATGCACATTAACGGTTCTACAATCTATCGATACCTGTATCTTTGCATTGCACAAGGTCATGTTTTTCTCTGACTGTTAAAGACATACATCCATTGGATGTTGGATGTGTACTGATTGATATTTTATGTCTTAGATACAATTCGTTGATATTGGCTTTGAACTAGCTGTCAGTAACTGAAAGTACTCTCAGATCTGAACCTTGTTTCTTCTTTGTTGTGAGGAATGTATAAAGACCCTGCCATGTCCGGTCGGTTGATGTTACATGCGTTTCTGCTTTTTATTAATCTGATAAGGTAAGCCCTTTTCAACTGATATTTATAGTTTTTTTTATGTTGTACTGTTACTCCACTGTCTCAGGTTGGAGGGAGGGTTAGCGCTCTCAAACATGTTTAACCCCGCCACATTCTTTATGTGCCTGTCTCAAGTCAGGAGCCAGTAGTTCGGGGGTTGTTGTTATGTCATGTCTGTTATATTTGTGTTTTGTAAATTGTTTTGTTATAAATTAGGCCGTTAGTTTCCTCAATTGAATTGTTTCATATTTTTCATGTCGGGGCCTTTTATAGCTGACTATACGGTATGGGTTTTTTCTTATGTCGAAGGCCGTACGGTTGCTTATAATTTCTTACATCTACTTCATTTGAACTTTGGTGGATAATTAATGTTAGCAAAATGAGGATGCTAAATTTGATGTATGCCTTTTTGTGCTTCTTCGTTACATTTGTTTGTTTTTATAGTGATTAAGATGATAACACAATGTTGACTGCTGTACCCCTATTTTTGACATTTTTACCTATTGTGTCTGTTTGTTTTGTTCACGCATCGTTGTCAATATAATGGAATTTGATGCGACTGTCATACAAGTGAGAGGTTTAGCTAGCTATAAAACCAGGTTCAATCCACCATTTTCTACATAAGAAAATTCCTGTACCAAGTCAGGAATATGACAGTTGTTATCCATTCGTTTGATGTGTTTGTTTTTTTGATTTTGCCATTTGATTGGGGACTTTCCTTTTTGAATTTTCCTCGGAGTTCAGTATTTTTGTGATTTTACTTTTTCAAAAGCCAAGGTACCAATGGATCATAAGTTTTGATATTTCAAAGGATTAGAAAAAGACATTTATCAATCACTTTATATACTACCTTGCTGATGATTGTGACCCATCAACGGATTATTTACATAAGTAACACGATGGATGTCTAAAGCACCTGAGTTCGCCAACGATATTTTTTTCTATTTTTTGGTCAGACGTGTTGCTCAGGCATATTTTCTATGTAGAGATTTGTAGATGAAGTAAACTTCTCTTTCTAGAACTCAATTAATGTATTGTACACCATTACTAACATAAAAAAAACTTGTGAAAACCAAATTCATACTTATGGCATCTGCCTACAACGAAAGTTGCGAAAAGCGACGGCGACGTCGGTGGCGTCAACAATTGTTGTGATAGATCATTGATATTTGATGTAAAGTTGCATTACTATTAGTACATATCATTTTGACGACTAGTTTGAGGCCCTGCCCCCTAAGTCATCGTCCAGTGAATTTGAATTAACTAGCAATTTTCAATGTTACGTTTTCTGCTTAAGTTAGTTTGATAGGATCTACTTGTGACAGATCAATGATATTTTGTATGAAAACGCATTACTATCGGTGACTTTGAATTAATGAGCAATTTTCAATGTTAAATTTTTTGCTTAAGTTAGTTTGATAGGATCTACTTGCGATAGATCAATGATATTTTGTATGAATTCGCATTACTATCGGTGACTTTGAATTAATAAGAAATGTTCAATGTAAAGGTTTCTGCTTAAGTTAGTTTGATAGGATCTACTTGTGGTAGATCAATGATATTGTGTACGAAGTTGCATTACTATCAGTACATATCTATTTGTAACTATTTTGAGGCCCTGCCCCCTAGGTCATGGTCCAGTGACTTTGAATTAATAAGCAATGTTCCATGTTATGTTTCCTGCTTAAGTCAGTTTAATAAGAACAACTTGAAACAGATCAATGATATTTTGTATAAAGTTGCATTACTATCAGTAAATATCAGTTTGACGACAATTTCTAGGCCCTGCCCACAAGATCATGTTCAAACGACTTTGATTAATAAGCAACGTTGCTGTCAATCAGATTGTCTTTTTATGAATTTTATGCGGACAGGCAAAACGTATCGATATGTCAACAGTTTATTCATACCTCTCCCGCCCAAGGCAAAATGGCTACTTGTGATCAACATGCCAAATTAACAGCTGTTTTTCTTTTTTATGAATGAAAAAAAGGCAAACCAACGTCAAAGTAAACAAAAAAAAAACCAAATGTACATCGGTTGGATAAACTGTGAACATAAAAAATATTACATTACTATTTTCTGCATTTTGTTTTAATATTGTGTGGGTGTTTGTTTATTGGCGTTTCATAAAATTTGGCTTAATCATAGCGTCGATTTTTTTTTGTTATGGAAGCTGGGAGACTGGAGTACCTTGAAAGAACCGCCGACCTACGGCAAGGAAATTGACAATCCACGTCAATGCATCAAACCACGAGCAGGGTTCGAACTCACAACTGCAGCCTTGCCAGGCTAATGAGCAATGTAGATGAGTTACTTAGATCATTTGGCCACGCGGTCCCCCATGTTGTAATAAAATCGCCAGTATATCCACTGCATATGTTTTCGAACTTACAAATCAACAGAAATACATTGATTATGAATCTATAAACTGTATCTTCATTCTCTGAGTTGTTTTAATGGTGTGTTATTATTCCAAACCAATAGTTTTCATAATGAAAGCTGTAGCAAGCAAGGATATATTATTATAACAGGGTGGATTTTAGGCTCTTATAACAACACTCTGTTTAGGGTTCTTCATACTTTATTAATATTCAGGAAATATCAAATATAGCCCTGATATGATAATAACAAATATATATAGCAAGGTTATTAATTATCACAGCTACATATGAAGTAATCACATATTTGTATGTATAATAGTTGACGTCGTGTTGCTTAGTCTTTAGTTTTCTAAGTTGTGTCATCTGTACTATTATTTGTCTGTTTGTCTTTTTATTTTTTGCCATGGCGTTGTCAGTTTGTTTTTCGATCTATGAGTTTGACTGTCCCTCTGGTATCTTTCGTCCCTATTTAATAAGTACAAAGTTAAAATATCATAGCCAGAACAAACGTAAACGTAATAATAAGAATATGATCAACATTTGAATATAACTATCAAACATTCTTAAACGTAACATTCTATTACAATATATCAAGGTACCATAGTATGTCAATAATACGCAAATTCATAGAGATCAATATAAGCCTGACCAATTTGTGGAATCAGGCTATACACAACATCAACAGCATTACATAAACATCAATGGGTCCTACAAACAATGTACAATAATAAGTATTCAAATACACATTACAGTTTCATATAACCAAATCATTACAATGTTTTAATAATCAATTATAGTAGTAATATAAACTTGGTTGACAAGTATCAAATCACACTAAAATTACTGGCTATGACGTAGTATCAGTATAAAGCAATGTGACGTCAAAGATTCATGACAAAGGTCAAAGGTCACTCTCAGAATCATTCAAAAATCTATCTCCCTACTTACAAACTACGCATTCGTATAAATCATACACTGAATCAGCTCTTTTACACACATTTACATAATATAGGGACAAAGGGTCATACCTACCAAATAGTGCTTAACACATTCCATACAATTCATTCGTCTCTCATACACCTCAAAGTAAATAATGTGCATTCTTACCTTATAAAGTGAATATACTAAATTCCATATGTCCAAAATACTACAAATGACTATCAATGAAATACCATTCAGTTCTAAACCATATAGATATAGCATAAACTAGAGTAAATATGCATTCTCCATTTTTCTCAAAGAATATCTATTTCAAATCTGGGGGTATGTCCCAATTAACCAATGAGAACACAGATAATTCTGACCACAGAGAAATTCACCAAAGCTTTCTAATTAATGATATATAAATTGTACAGGTAGAAACAGTTATCACCCATTGTGCTACTCATTAAATGTGAAAATCTGTTTTTTTTGGACATACTAATTTACCAATCAGTTAACAGGGTAGGATTGTGATATGAAGTAATTAAACATATCCGATACGGTCAGTGACATAGGTTATAAACTTTGATTAATTTAATATTGCCTGTCAATGTAGAATCACACTTCTGGTATTTCTTCTTATAGTATTTCACTTAACCTTTTTGTTTTCCAAACCACAGGCGCTTGGGGGCATGGACCATCCTGCCAAATTGGCCTCATGTTCTATAGCTGTTCCGTCCAATGGAAAAACACTGAAATAGGATAAACAGGCATAGATTGTGTGTGTGTATTCTGTATTTATATATATATTTTTTTTTTTTCCACAGAATGGGGAAGAAAGATATAATATTAGGTCATGGCATAAAATTCCTATAAGCTCCTTGAAAATAAATTTATTGATGTACTTCATCTCAATTACTTCAATTCCGGATAGCATAACATGAATAGAAGAGAATGTGGCACTGATCTTGCACCAGGCCTAAGAATTAATGTCCATGTTCCGTCTTAACGCCGCTGGGTATTTATAATCCTTTTAGCCAAAACTGACAAACCACTCTAGCAAGGTTTTACTTCAATACAAAAGGAACACCAGGAATTACCACAATCAACCCTTTAGGTTAATATATACCAGATGTATGTCTGAGGTTCGGACGAAATAAATAATAAGCCTGGTATCTTTGATGAATAGAAATTCTTGAAACATTATCAAAGAACATTCATTGTTTATATGATATTTTTGTAAGTTTGGAAGGATGTTCATCAATATTGTTATTTTGATTTGGAGTAAACTTATTTCTATTTAATAAATGTATTTAGAACTATTTAGACAACTTATATAATTATATAAAACTACTATCGACCGAAGAGTAAGATAAAGATCTTTACAGAATTTTAACTTTATTTCACAGTAACCAATTGATTTTAATTTAAAATCATTAGTTGTCACATTAAAGTAATGTAACCATCACTTTACACCTCATGAATGATATATCAGTGTCAATTGGAGTGTCTCTTTTTTTATGCATCATGTCTTTTGCTACTATAGTAATCTTATGTTTAATTTATATCAAAATTAAATCGAACAAAATGTAAAATTTATAGAGTATATCTTTGTTTGAGGCTATCAAATCCTTTTGTTTTAAAATTCAGTAGTTGCCGCCTGTAGAGAGAGGCAAAAGATTCCAAAGGATAATTAAACTCGTAAGTAAAAAACAAACTGACAATACCATGGCAAAAAAAAACGAAAAAACGACCATAAGACATACAACAGTATACAAAATACAACTTATCAATGATGTGCCAGTGTTTAGCTAGATTGTCTCTCTTGTTATAAACCATGTTTATAGCTAGGTACAACATAAGGAAAATGTTTATATCAAGTCAGGAAATAGACGATTGTGTTTCCATTAGTTCCGTTGGTTGATATAGTCGAGCGTTTGAATTTGTCGGGTTTTATGGATTTCTCCCTTTTTGAATTTACCTTGGAGTTTGGTATTTTGTTAGATTTTTTTGTAATACTTATCTTATATATCTAAAATTTTATGTTTTACTTCCTTGTAGAATAAAGTTAAACAACAAAAATACCGAACTCCAAGGAAAATTCAAATCGGAAAGTCCCTTATCTAATGCCAGAATCAAAAGCTCAAACACATCAAAAGGATGGAAAACAACTGTCATATTCCTGACTTGGTACATGCATTTCCTTATGTAGAAAATGATGGATTAAACCTGGTTTTATAGATAGTTAAACTTCTCACTTGTATGGCTGTCGCATAAAATTCTATTATATTGACAACAATGTGTTAACAAAATAAACAGACATAATAGATAAAAATGTCAGAAATAGGGGTACAGCAGTCAACATTGTGTTATAATCTTAATCATTATAAAAACAAACAAATATGTCAGCAAAGAAAAAAATAGCATATAGACAAAGCTTATAATCAAAAATGAAAGACAAGAACACAAAAAATGATTACAGCACAACAACACATTGGCGGGATGTATAAGAATCGAGCCACGTCAACAGGACATTACCAAAAATGGACTAAACAGTTGAGGTCAACAATTTACAAATAAAAGAACACTATAACACGTTATTCAGAATCCGAGAGTGCCAAGGAAGCGTTACCCGTCACTAGCTGTAACACGAACAGTATGTTTAAGGTGTTACAAAAGGATGACCAGTCTGTTTTAGGTGATACAAAAGGATTACCAGTTGACCTTTCAACTCTTGCCGTTGCATTCTGGTGACAACATGTATATAGACAGCTTAGAAATTGATTAAAAATTGAATCTGTATATTCTACACTTCATATAAGAACTTTGTAATCAATATCTAAGGTCACATGCAGATGTCGGCGAACTAATTGTATAGCGTGTAATATGATATACAGTATTACATATGGTATGATACCAAAGAAACAACTGTCAACCATAGCCTGAATGACGTGGATCAACTATTATAGATCACCGTACAGCCTTCAACGATGAGCAAAACATATACCTTAAAGATAGCTATGAAAAGCCCCAACATGACAAAATATAAACAAATCAAATGACTGGACTTGGAATAGGCCCATTTAAAATATGGCGAAGTTAAGCATGTTGTGGGTTTTAAGGCCTTGCCTTAAAAAACAACAGTTGTAGCAGCATAATCTAAAACTTAACCTTCTACAGTGTTGTAGCAGCATAATCTAAAAGTTAACCTACAACAGTGTTGTAGAAGCATAATCTACAACTTAACCTTCTACAGTGTTGTAGCAGCATAATCTAAAAGTTAACCTATAACAGTGTTGTAGCAGCATAATCTAAGAAGAAACGTAAACAATAAGTTGTAAATGGCTTAACTCATAAGATTGATACGAAGTACAAAAAAACGTAAGTGCTACTATGAAGACAACAGACACAAAGTACCAATCTAAGAGTACTCACTGACACAGTTTGCGTTCATTTCTTTCTATTTTCGCTTATTTTTATGCGCCTGTTAATGGTTCTGTAGATACGTTTGAAAGTTGTGATAAGATTTCCGGCATATTGTTTGTATTAATGTGGAAATTGAAAAAGTCATTTCACGCGAGTTTGTACTTCGGTACGGACCTGATTTGTAACAGACCTTTCTTAAATTTTCAATTTACACATTTAGAAATAAATAAGAAACTTAGGTTTCAACTCCGTCAGGCAAAGTTGACCTATGACAATTTTTGGTATTATTTTAGGTATTTTTTGTCACATAGCTCTTCAACTGTTTCGGTTCTTATACATCATTGGTTTTTCTTCTTTGACCCCCTCACACTGATTAGCAACAGCCGTTAGATGACATCGCCCAAAGATGTTGTCATGCAGACGACATTGTATTGGTCCCATGACCGCATAGATTTTTGATGTTATCACGTGACTTTTGTGTGTATCTGACATGATCAAATGGATTGTCTTAGTACAAAAGTATTGGCAACCATACCTCATATCCGTATTTGTATCAACGGGTACCAAGGGTCATTAATACTACAAAAATGATAGACGAACAAGTACTTTGTTTCGCTTTGTTCTGATTCCTATAATAGAAAATAGTCAGTTTTTGGTATTTTTTTTCCTTTTGCCCCTAAGCCTAAGCTATATAGAGCCTGATATAAGTCATGATCGTTTGACTATCATGCTCTTCAACTTAATACTTGTTTGGCTTTCTAACTATTTTGATCTGAGCGTCACTGATGAGTCTTATGTAGACTAAACGCGCGTCTGGCGTATCAAATTATAAGCCTGGTATCTTTGATAACTATATAGAAGACATATGATTCTGTTGTCTGGTTTTTTTTTTCTTTTTTTGTCTCCTCTCGAGGCTTTTTAGAATTCGTTATACATTATGGACCTTTCGCTATAATTGAAAACCACTGTTGACCTCCAGATGTCATTATTGGTTTTATTGACCAGTAGAAATAAATAATGAATTAATAAGTATTTTCACTGAACTCTTTATTTAACATCCGGCATCATTTTAATTTGGAACAGCCGTCATAATCTTATGTAAACAACTAGTGACGTCATTTAAGGTTCCGACGCAGAAGTACGTTCTATAAACATACTGATGAACCCCTGTACCATGAGGTCTCTTATAGAAAACGACATTGAATTTTGAGGTTGTACCAGCGAAATTTGAACCTTTGAATAAATGGCTGTCGTAATTTTCATGTATATCTGTATCTTGTCCTTGCGGAGTATACGCTCCAAGTGCGTAATTGTGGTCCGGAGTCGATAAAATAACTGGTAAATGTTTATTATGATAATTTTCAGCAAGCCTTGTTGCTGGATTGAATGTGAATTGTTTGGAAAATTCGTAGGTCATGTAAACTGCAGGTGATTCCATCTGAATAAACAATTCGTCTTGAGGCCAGTTTCCTCCTATTGTAAAATTTGAAACAAATTCAAAACAATTGTTAATTCCATGTGTTCCTATTGTTATCTTCTTGTGGAAAGGATAGTTGTATGTTGTATGGTAGCCGTGGTGTGCAGGACACAATCGTCCATAATTACAATCATGTTGAGTTCCTGATGTAGGTTTAACTGGTTTCCAAAAAGCTGGATGAACCTTTAAAAAGATTACGAATCAAATATTGATATATGCTGTGACTTTGTACGTGGTCGACTTAAGTAAACGCAAAATTGTGGGTATTTTGTAAGCATCAAATATTAGAAAATTATTCCGGTGAATAGTTATTATTCTATTGTTATTTTATTATTATTATTGTTATTAGTAGTAGTATTGTTTTTATTATTAGTATTATTACTATTATTATTAGTTGTAGTATTTTTTGTCTGTACTTTTCTCCATACAATCCTTATTATTCAAACAATTGTTTTGCATGACATGTCTTCTTGATGTTTTGAACCGTCGAATTTTTATGCGTCTGGCCCAAGTCACGAGTCGGGCGGTTGTCTTACTTATGTCACAACTGTTAGTTGTGTTATTGTGGGTATTATATATAGAAGAATATCGATGAGAGTTTATCCTTAAGTTATACACAACTCTCATAAACTTTGTACAAAGCGTAGTTAACTCTTGTTCTATATACTAGAATACATATGTGAATATTAATTTCTATCATGTAAAAAATGGACGAAGAGGATATCACAGTTTTATCTGGGCGGTATTAAAAAGAAAAAAAAAACTTTACACTTTTTAGTAAAGTCGACTGATTTTGATAATTTAACCTAATAAGTGTAATATGCGAATTTCCGAATATTTATTTTCATTTAACTCTAATGACGCTCAGCTGTATTTTGTAAAGCCTTTTCAAATTTTGGATCCCCAATTCTCTTCAACTTCATATTTTATAACTTTTAAACTTTTTTTTTAAGCGTCGCTGATGAACCTTTTGAAATAGGATACAAACAATTTAAATCTGGTATCTATTATGAGTTTATTCCCATTACATTCAATCAAAACAGTCGTTGCTTTTCCCTTTCATTAGTCATGCAAAACGTCCTTTTTCAATAATTAGAACAATATCAAAATAAATTCAAATGATAACTATAAATGAATAATACATTTATTATTTGAATTTCATGTAACATTGTAATACTTTATTGTTGTAATTTTTCATTAATAAATACTGTTTAAACTAATAATACATTAAAGAGCAAAACGTCATTGGATTACCGTGTGTTATAATTTATGTGGAAGCATCATATTTACTTACCATACTTTCCATAACATTTCCATGAACATGAACCCAATCTATATGAGTGTGGGTTGTTTGGAGTGCGGCGTCACATACACCACCAGCTTCTGTAGGGTTGTAACACTCGGAGTATTTGTTGGTGTTGCATGCCATCTGCATCTGACGCCCGTGATCCCAAGAGTTGATAAATTCTTTATTGTTCCATGTAAGACTGTCCACTGCGCCACCTGTTCGTGTAGAGGAACCGATATATATCCCATGATTTGATACAGTCCAGCGGCCTTCAAAATTCTGACTAGTTGATAATCCATTACGGTGTTCAGAGCTGTGAAACGTCAGATAATGCTGAATGGCGGCTCTATAATTATTTCCAAAAGCTTTTTGGAGATCGGGATACCTATGAAAATATTCAAATAAGGCTATATATACATACATGATATTTGACATACTAGTAGACGTTAATATTTTTGATACCTTGTCTCGAATTTTTGTTTTGCATTTGAATCAACTTATTTCGGATTACTATATTTAGAAGCAATCCGTTTGATTTGGGTTTTTTTTTCTTTTTAATTTGCAGGTATCAATTGGCGATTTGATGGTCGCAAATTGAAATTACGGACAACGCGATTGAAGGCCAGTAAACGGATATTTACGACCATCAAATCAAAAACTAATGCCTGCAAGTTTTTGAATAAAATGCTGTTAACTCCATTTTAATGCAACAGAAAGAAAGTGCCGCCGAATCATACATTTTAAAATCAGTCAAGAAAGCACAATTTTAGACCATCAAACGAGGTATTGATGCTATGAGTGTTTTGGAGTTATGCTATAAAAATGCAAACAACCTTCCATTAGAATAAAATTATTTTGTTTTTCATATCTCATGATCATTTTTGTCCCCCGCGTAACGCGTTGCGGGGGACATGGAAATACCGGGCATCTGTCCGTGCCTCCGTGTGTCCGTCCGTCCGTCCGGTCTTGTAAGCGCTCTCACAGGTACAAATCTTGCCAGATTTTTATAAAACTTATACTATAGGTTAATATCAGCAATATCTCGGACAAGTTCTTTAATGGTGGCCGATCGATTTTTTTTTAAAGAGTTATGACCCTTGGAAATATTAAATTTATGGAAAATGGCCTAGTTAGCGATCTCACGGGTACAATTCTTGCCAGATTTTTAAAAAACTTATACTATTGATTAATATCAGCCATATCTCGGAAAGTTCTATAATGGTGGCCTATCGACTTTTATAAAAGAGTTAAGCCCCTTGGAAATATTAAATTTATGGAAAATGGCCTCGTTAGCGCTCTCACGGGTACAATTCTTGCCAGAATTTTATAAAACTTATACTATAGGTTAATATCAGCAATATCTCGGACAAGTGCTATAATGGTGGACGATCGACTTTCATTAAAGAGTTATGCCCTTTGAAATATTAAATTTATGAAAAATGGCCGCGTTAGCGCTCTCACGGGTACAATTCTCGCCAGATTTTAATAAAACTTATACTATAGGTTAATATCAGCAATATATCGGAAAAGTTCTATAATGGTGGACGATCGACTTTTTTCAAAAGAGTTATGCCCCTTGGAAATATTAAATTTATGGAAAATGGCCTAGTTAGCGCTCTCACGGGTACAATTCTTGCCAGATTTTTAAAAAACTTATACTATTGATTTATATCAGCCATATCTCGAAAAGTTCTATAATGGTGGCCTATCGACTTTTTTAAAAGAGTTAAGCCCTTGGAAATATTAAATTTATGGAAAATGGCCTCGTTAGCGCTCCCACGGGTACAATTCTTGCCAGATTTTTATAAAACTTATACTATATGTTTATATCAGCAATATCTCGGATAAGTTCTATAATGGTGGCCGATCGACTCTTTTTGGAAGAGTTATGCCCCTTGGAAATATAAAATATGTGCAACGCGGGGGACATTGGAACACTGTTCTTTTATAGTTCTTCTTTTTCCTCCTCAAACCAATTTGTTTTTGCCATTGCTAATGACTAGTATAAATCAAAGTGTAGGCCATCTGTCAGTTTTAATCTTCTGTTTAAATAGTAGATTATTGTACAAAGTTAAAGTCACAACTAGGTAAACGGTATACGACAATAATAATCATATAACTAGCTTTTTTCAGGGCAGACACTTTGTTTTTAGGGAGTCGTCTCAGAATTATCTGTTACATTATACCTTGCAATGTACTCTTTTGAATGAAACTGTCCAGATCCCTGCCATCCAGCATCTATGCCATGCGTAAGCCAGTGTTGTTTCACAGCTTCCGGTGTATTTACAGAATGAGAAATCACTTGATGGTGATTGTTAGAATAAAAAACAGGGTCAAAAACTTCAGGTGATGCCAAGTCTACAGCTTCGACATGCGTTTCTGAAAAAGAATGGTATGGATACAATTATTTTACCATTGTGATCCACAAGTCTAGTACGCAATAATGAGGTAGGTTTGACCTTTCAAAGAGTGTGAAGTCAGTACAACTAATGCATTGACATTATTCATTTTCCTAATCCAAAAACATCTTAATCCTATGTTTTGTTCTTTCTTTTTTTTCTGCAATTCTTTTGTACATTTTGATTTATTTTTTTTAAATTTTTTAAATTTTTTTTTTTTTTTTTGGAAAAAAAGATGGCAAAGACGATCAAAATTTGAAGCTGAAGCTTAAAATATATTGACAAGGTAGCTGTTCCGTCAAAACCGGAAGAAATACTACGCTCAAAGCTAGATAATAGAATTTTTTCTCTTCCACGTATGAGCCTTTTGTATTTTACTGGTAGATTGACCTAGCTTTTAAAGTTCACACTTACATACAATCTGTGATTGAATTTTCATGACATCAATATCTTTTCAAACCTTCATGGAATGTTACAAATTTTAGACAAAACTTTCTTCATGATAGAAAAAATCTCCCGAGGGAAATGTACGATATTTTTCATTTGCTGTATTAGTTTTTGGTTGTCAACATTATACTTTTGCATAAGCATTAGCAGTCGAAACACATTAATTTCTTTTGTTCTATCACTGATCTAGGTCGTCTGTACACTATAGAATCATTGAATACGTGAGGAGCAATTTGCCTAAAAAGAACCTAGGAAAGATTCTAAGGTCATCTTAGCCTGAGGGAAATGCAACCTTAGCTTCTCGGTGATTTCTTAATTACTAACACTGTCTCTACACGAGGCATTTGATTTAACGACTACATTAAGTCACAAAAGAAAATTTCTCATCCCATTCAAATATGCAACATCCTTGTAAGCATGGCACCAGCACAAATAATCCCAAGTCAGGAGCCTCTGGCCTTTGTTAGTCTTGTATCATTTTTAATTTTTGTTTCTTGTGTATAATTTGGAGTTAAGTATGACGTCCATTATCACTGCACGCGTATACATATTTGTTTAGGGGCCAGTTGAAGGACGCCTCCGGGTGCGGGAGTTTCTCGCTGCATTAAAGACCCATTGGTGGTCTTCGGCTGTTGTCTGCTTTATGGTCGGGTTGTTGTCTCTTTGACACATTCCCCATTTCCATTCTCAATTTTATTATTTACTTTATCTCGTTTCCACATCCTAGCATTCATTATTGGACTGTTGCTTACTTAACTTCTTGTATCAATTATGTCATGCATATGCAGGACGATAAATAATTAAATCCGAAGTTAGTTCTGCAAATTAGTTTGACTGGGGTGAAGGGTTTGGAATTGGGACTGCCTCAGAAAAACAGGATATATTGGACAGTGGCCAGAATGTAGCCGTTCAAGATTTCCCAATAGTACCCTCATAGAATATGACACTCCCATATTAGGAGTCAACGAACGACTCAATTCCGACCTGATGTTGCTGCGTATTTCTACATCCCAATGTCACGTGTAGATCAGGATAAGCCTACCCTTCCGAAGCGTTCGAGATCATTCCAGATGTTTAGCGGGGTTCGTGTTGCTCAGTCTTTAGTTTTCCATTTTGTGTTTTTTATACTGTGGTTTATCTTTTGGTCTTCTCTGCCGTTTTTTGCAATGGCGTTGTCAGTTTATTTTCGACTTCCAATATATCCCTTTGGTATCTTTAGCCTCTCTTTTACAGCCAAACGGACGCCCAACTTTAAATAGCAAGGATTTCAATGCAGGAACAGGAGAGGTCAAAATGATTATATTTCTATACCACAGTTTACCTTTAGGAGTTAGTATAAAAATGTGTATCTTAATCTTTTGTTTTCTAACACTCCGTAAGTATCCTTACAGTCTCCTTTTGATGAGTTTATGTTCATTTGTTATTTACCTGACATTAAAAATGCTATCCAAACAACAAACATCATCATATATCGACTGATCTTCAACATGGTCGTCTCAAGTCAGAGTTACATAATATACTGACGTTAAAGTATGGATAAGTATGTCACTGATAAGAGTTAGCCAGATGATATACAATGTTGTGTACTTTAATCTTTTTAATAAACTTATTCTAAAAGGTTGCCAATTCAACACTGTAATTAGATCTTTGAATATTTTTTTATTGGTATGAATATTTTAGTAAATTAAATCCAACTAAATATCATTGTAATAATACATATGCACATTTACGGTTCTACAATCTATCTGTACCTGTATCTTGGCATTGCACAAGGTCATGTTTTTCTCTGACTGTTAACGACACTACATCCATTGGATGTTGGATGTGTACTGATTGATATTTTATGTCTTAGATAAATGATTTTTTTATTCGTTGATATTGGCTTTGAACTAGCTGTCAGTAACTTCGAGTACACTCAGATCAGAACTTTGTTTCTTCTTTGTTGTGAGGAATGTATAAAGACCCTGCCATGTCCGGTCGGTTGATGTTGCATGCTTTTCTGCTTTTTATTGATCTGATGAGGTAAGCCCTTTTCAACTGATTTTTTATAGTTTTTTTTTTATGTTGTACTGTTACTCTACTGTCTCAGGTTGGAGGGAGGGTTGGAGGGTTCGTCTAACCCCGCCACATTCTTTATGTGTCTGTCTCAAGTCAGAAGCAAGTAGTTCAGTGGTTGTTGTTATGTCATGTCTGTCATAGTTGTTTTTCGTAAATTATTTTGTCATAAATTAGGCCGTTAGTTTCTTTATTTGAATTGTTTCATATTTTTCATGTCGGGGCCTTTTATAGCCGTCT